CAGGCAGAGGCTGGATGGGGAGGGGAGGGAACCTTTCTGGGGCATCACAGGATGACAGTAGTCAGGGCTGGGAACCCTTCCAGGATTTTTTACTTTACAGGTAAAAAACCGAGGCTCCAAGATGGGGGTGGGGGTGACGGCCAAAGGCCACAGATCGAGCCAGGAAAAGCACCGAGACCAGAAGCCAGGTCTTTGACTCTACTCCCAGGCCTTCTTTCCTGGAGAGCAGAGGCCTGAGCAAGAACAAAGGAAATTGACATACACCCCTCTGACCCTCCCAACACTTTCAAACTGAGGTCGTGAACTGAGTGGTTCAAATGGGGTGAGGCAGGAAGGTGCCCCATCCTGAGTACTAGGCTGGCTTCTACAAGGCCAGGGCAGGAAGGGGGATACAGACCCCAGAGGCACGCTAGCCGTCCTAAGTACCCCCCAGCCTACCCTGGACCTCAAGTGGTGGAAGATCATCCAGCAAAGCCAGTTATAACCACAACCACAACAAAAGCAGCAGCCAACATTTGGGTGCACACTGCAGGCCAGTTCTGTGTTGTACATGCATGTAAATCATTACAGCAGTCTCTTATCTCACTGTCTTAGCCCTCCAGTGCCTGTAGAATCATGAGTGGGTGGCTGAGAGAATGCCTCTCTGGGTGACCATGGAGTGGGTGTGTGCACGTAAAAAGTGCATGAGTCCAACACCCAGCACAGTCCCTGGCATACAGTATATTTTATTAAATATTTGAGGAATAAGTGAGTGGACAAGTGTCTGCCTGTAAATGAGTGTGACATTGAGGTGTCTACTGAATCCTAGAACAAGACTGCTCCCACGTGAAGCTTGTGGGATCACGTCATTTCAAATGGGAATGATTCTGTCTCCATCCAACTGTGAATGTGTGTATGTGGGTGACCTCTCTCCCTGCCACCCTGTGCAAGCCCTGTGGCTTTGTGTCCCGGTGAGTGGTGGTGAAAACTGCCTCCATATCTCCCTGGATGGTAGCCAGTTCTCCAGCCCCACTGAGGGGCAGAGAAGAGGGACTCTGTTTCTAGTGGGATAGAACAATGGGCCTGTGTGGGTGGGGCTCCCAACCTCCTA